TTTTCTCTTTCTCTCTCCCCTCTCTCTCTCTCTCTCTCTCTCTCTCTCTCTCTCTCTCTCTCTCTCTCTCTCTCACCCCGTCCCAGTTTTACTCTCTCCAACACTCCACTAAAATATGTCTATTTTTTTTTAAAATTGAGAATTATTATTGAAATGTTTTTTGTATTGTTTTACTTCTCCAGCAACAATACAGCTTGGCCAGCAGAGATTCTGAGTTGGAGGCTTTTCAAGTTTGTAAATCAGCTGGGATCGGAGTCTTGCCGTGGAGTCCTTTGAAAGGGTGAGTCCATTGAAAGGGGGAGTCCATTTGGGGGGGGGGGGAGGTGTTTGCCCATTTAAATGGTGAGCCAATTAAAGGCGTGAGCTCATTAAAAGGTATCGTCTATTTAAAGGATGTGTCCTTATAGGGGTGAGTCCATTGAAAGGGTGAGTTCATTGAAAGGGTGAGTCCATTGAAAGGGTGAGTCCATTGAAAGGGTGTATGAATTGATAATGTGGCTGCGTTGGGGGTGAATCCAATGAAGGGGCGATTCCGTTTGAAGGGTGTGTTCGTTGCAGGGAAAAATCCATTGAAACGATAACTTCATTTTTGGTGTGATTCCATTGAACGGGTGAGTCCATGTGATCAAAAGTTAATTTTGTTCGACCGAATTCTGACCTAATTCCTCATTTGAAACCAAACAGAGGTCTGCTGACGGGGAAAGTGAAGCGTGGCGTCAAACCAACAGAAGGTCGTCTGGCCTGGGTGGCGGCAGACGAGAAGAAATCCAGCCAGGCAGCACCTGCGTGGACCACGTTTGATGACAAAACCTTTGACGTCATCGAGGCCGTGGAAGCCATTGCCAAGAAGCACAGTGAGCACACAGCTTTAGTTCAGGTTAAATTGGGAAATAGCACAATGAGCACACAGATTTAGTTCAGGTTAAATTGCGAAATAGCACAATGAGCACACAAATTTAGTTCAGATAAAATTGGGAAATCTATTCAAGGGGCCATGAAATTTAGGCCTCTAGAAATGCTACAATAACAACAACAAAAAAAAATCACTTATTCAATGAACTAAGATAACTATATGTGTATACCGATGCACTAAGACAATTTAATGTGTATATCGATGCACTTAAATAACTAAATGTGTACATCAATGCACTAAGATAACTAAATGTATATCAATACACTCAGATAGCTAAATGTGTATATTACACACATTGCGCAAGTCTGTGTCTTATCTTAGATCCAGAAATGACGAGTAGGCTAATGAGACCAAGACAAGTCTTATGTTCTATCTTAAAGCAGTGGCAGCTGGGGAAATAAGCATGAATATCAATTATAGAAATTATTATTTGTATCATCATAGGCCCAGGTAAGGAAATGTGTCTGGATATTTAGAAGGTCTCAAAATTCAGACTTAAAAAAAAAATAATACATGTTCTCTTCCTACACATATCTCCATTTACTCTGAAGTCAATTATTTTCCTACCAATTACTTAAGGCGCATCAACATCCTTATTTATTATTATTTTTAAATTGATTAAGTCATCAAAAAGTGTTTTAAAATCTATTCGTACTCATCTGCACAATCTTGATCCTTTTAGCATTCGTGTGTATTTTGTTAATGTAATCAACTTTTAATTTGTTTGTTTCAATAATATAATCCTGATTAAAAAATTTCTTAGGTCCGTATTATGCCTATAGTTTTTGTTTTCAATTCTCTCTCCCCCCCCCCCAGACCGCAGTGTCCCGCAGGTCGCCATTCGTTGGCTGCTACAGAGGGACGTCGTCTCGTCCGTCATTCTAGGGGCGAGGACCCTGTCCCAGCTGGAGGATAACTTGGGAGCTGGCAACGGGTGGTCCCTAACCAGACAGGAGGTAAGTAAAGCACATGAGGACACGTGTAGACCGCTTTCGATGAAAATAAACGGATACGATTAGGGACATTCAAGAACACAGTAACATGTAGCCAACATACGGGCTTTTACGTCTGAAACACTTTTTTGGGGGGATAACTATCGTCAGGACGATAGGTCGTGTCAGTGGCGGAGTAACTTAAAGGCAAATGATGCGCGTGCCTAGAGAGGCCCCGCACCTTCCCGGGGCTCCGCGACCAAGGATCCGCATTTTTAAAATTGATCTGATCTGGTACGTAGGTGTACGTAGGTGTACGTAGGTGTACGTAGGTGTACGTAGGTGTACGTAGGTGTACGTAGGTGTACGTAGGTCTTTGTTTCAATGGGCATCTCGTTAACTTTCCTGACATCACAATTTAAAGAGAGAAAAAAAAAGTGTGGTGGGTTGTTGTTGTTGTTTTGGGTGGGGGGTGGAGGTAGGGGGGGGGGG